TAGATAGATAGATAGATAGATGTGTCTATTTATTTATCTTAATAGGACAGATGGCCCGGGTGGATTGGTGGGTAGATGGATTGATAGTTGGATTGGATTTGATTGTATTGGGGAATGAGCGGCGGGCTACATCGTTCGTCTCCTGAGCAAATAACTACATGGTCGAAACTGTAGTTGAACGGGAATAGGGTTGTATACGTTCATGTCTGGAGAGATATAGGGAGATATAGCAGATAGGCTACTATATGGATGGGTAACGGATAGTATATGGATATGGATGGATAGCAGAGTATATGTCTGGATATATGACTGGATATTGATATAGAATAGTGGATTGTCGATAGTAAATGAATGGATAAGACAGTGTATGGATGGATATATGAATGGATATGGAAATGGGATAGGCAGTAGGAAGGTAGAACAGATAGGCTTACCTAATGGATGGACATCAGATAGTATATGGATGGATTCGATGAACAGATATGGATATGTAATGTAGCTGCAGACATGGTTTCTCCTGGTCAGGCCGTTCTTGCTCGACGGGTACGCCGCATTCGAGGAACCTTGCAGCAGTTGCTGAGGATTTGGTGTTCGCTTTATTCTTTCTTGTCCGTGTCTTTTTTGTCTCTCTTTTCACTTTGCTTTTCTTTGTTCCCCCTCGCTTCATCTTTGCTTTGGCGTTTTTGGCCGCACTCGACTGTTGTGATGTTTAGATAGACGTAGAGATTGACAGGTAGATAGGCGCAATTATGCTTTCCTGAGGAGGGGCAGTTCTCGCTCTATGCATGCGAGGCCTCCCAGGGGACTTCTTTGTCATCAGGGCGCTGTTTTGTCTCCGTCCCCGTGTCATTCTCTCCTGTCTTCTCTCTCTCGTCTCTCCTCTTTCCTCTGTCATCTTTGCTATCTTCTATTTCTGTGCAAGGATGCTGCTGGACATCTCGCCCCATCTCCGCCTCATTCTCGACACTGCTTTCACTACTTAGATGATGACAAGTCGAATACAGGTCGGGTACAGTTTGGATACAGGCCGGATACATGTCGGATACAGCCCGGATACAGGACGGATACAGGTTGGGTACAGGTCAGGTACACGTTGGGTACAGGCTATCAAGCAAAACGGGTCCCAAGAAGTAGCATCCTTGGGCAATCTTTAAGTGCACACAGTAGTCACACACACACACACACACACACACACACACACACACACACACACACACACACACACACACACAGAGAGAGCTCCCATGCAGATTATGTTTTGGGTTGGTCTGGATTTGCTTCCGAGTGTGGGTGGTAGACTTTTCGAGGTAGTTATAGTTCTTTTACACAGACGTGATGTGCTTGCAAAATTGGATGCTGAGTTTCCACCCTGATGAGCATATGTGTGAGAGAACAACGTGGAAGTGGCCACTGTCAGAACGGGAGGGTTGGCTGTGTGAGGGAATTCACGACAGAGCCATCGTAGGCAGGTTTCTTCTTGTTGGTCAGGCTTATTGGGAATAGAAGGTTGATGGAAGCTGTTGTGTGGAGGCAACTTGCATGTGCGAGTCCCAACAGTTGTGCTGTGCACTTTTTCACATTTGTAGTGCATGGAGCTGGCAAGATAAGGGCTATCTATCTCTGATTTGTTAACCTTTAACAAGGTGCAAGGGTTTATGGCTGGATAACTGCTGAAGAATGGGTGGCTGACGGCTGTTTTGTGGAGTTTTTAAGCTCTCAAAAGCTCTCAAAAGACAAGGGTTCACGACTGGGGAACGGACAGAATGAATGGAAGAATGCTGTGGGATGTGCAGGTTCATAAGTGGGAGAAAAGAGGTGTCAACAAAGATTCAACAGTGATTGATGATCATGATGGTCTGTGGGTGGGATAGTCGCTGGAAAGCAGTTGGGAATATGTAGAGCCCTCGAAACAAATAGGAGTGTTGTGTTTGTGTTGTGTTTGTGTTGTGTTTGTGTTATGTTTGTGTTGTGTTTGTGTTGTGTTTGTGTTGTGTTTGTGTTGTGTTTGTGTTGTGTTGTGTTGTGAATTTGGGACTGAGGTGTTAAACACCGAAACAGAGGATTGAGGGGGGTAAACTCTGAAAACAGGAGGAGGGCGGCTGCGTTCTGAATGCGGAGCTAAGGGCTGGTGAATAGAAGAGGTTTGAGGTGCGGGTTAAGAGCTGGCATTGAGAGATTGCCTAGGGTTTGTGCTTGCAGGCAGGCTGGTCATTTGTCTCGAATACCGTCTTGATGCAAGCATGTGTGGTGTATGTTCTATATATGTGTTCGCATGTGGTTGGTCTGACCGGAACCTGACCGTGTGTGCCACATCTCTTGCTTACAGGCCCTCTACTCAGTGTGTTCCAGCTGGGCGTCAAGAAAATTCATGAGCGGCGTGTATGCAACCAACCTAACCTGAACAAGTTCGCTGCACCCTCTCCTTCCCTCCTACCTTCCCTTCCTCCCTCCTTTTCTTGCTCCCTCCTTTGTTGCTGTCTCCTTCCTTGCGCCTGTCCTGCATTTTCTCCCCCTCCTTTCGAATTCCTCCTTTTCTTCTTCCTCGAAAAGTTCCTCAGAAGTACATGTAGCCGTAGTTTTCTACATTTACACCATAATAAGGGACATGCTTATGGAGACTGGCTGCTCTCGAGCATGCATGAGGCGTTACCTTTTTGAAAATCGTGCTGAAAGACTTGGAAAGCTAGCCTGGACAGTCAATTCGGGAATGGAAGAGGCCGGTGTGTGTGTGTGTGTGTGTGTGTGTGTGTGAGAGAGAGAGAGAGAGAGAGAGAGAGAG